GGAGGACGGGCCGGGAGCCCCTGGGCACCGCGCGGGGGGCGCGCGGCCGGACGGGTCCCCCCGCTCGGCCCCGCAGCCCGGCAGTGACCCCGCGCCGGAGGAGCCGCGGCCCGGCCCGGGACCCGCCGCGGCCCCGGAGCTCGCGGGAGGCGAACGGACCGGGCCGTGCCAAGGCTCGGGAAGGGCCATGGAGGCGGAGGCGGTGCCCGCAGAGCCGCGGGGCTCTGCCCGCTGGGAGCCCAGCGCCGGGAGCGCCCCGCGGGGCACGGGGAGCCCTCGGGCCCCCGGCGGCGCCGAGCCCGCGGGCATGGAGCTGGATGAGACCCCCGAGACCCGCGGCCCCCCCGACACGCCCGGGTGGGCCGAGGACGCGCAGGAGGAGCCCTCGGAGATCCAGGGGCTGCTGGCCCAGCTCGAGACCCTCGACCCCAACCTGTGTGACCGCCCGCCCGCCCCGGAGCGGGGCCCGCCGTCCCCCTCGGGTGCCGCTGCCCGGCGGTGCCCGGGCAGGTGCCGGCCCTGCCCGCTGCACGTGGCCACGGGCCGGGGCCTGGCGACGCGTCCCTGCTGCCCCCAGCACCCGGCCTGTGGCCGGCCCTGCCACGGGCTGCTCTTCGCCGAGGCCGACCGGGAGGACTTGCTGAGCCTCCTGTGCTACGAGGGGGGGCTGCCTGAGGCCGGTGCTGAGACCCCCTTGGCCCGCTCCGATGTTCTGACTGGGACTAACCTGGAGATGCTGCAGGTCCGGGAGGATACAGCCACGGTGGAGAAGCCTGAAAGGCCGGGGAGGCCAGAGAGCTCAGAGGAAGAACCTTCCGGCGGCTGGTGCTATGGAGAGGGGCTTTGCGAGGTTGATTCCACCTCTGAAGGCACTCGGGAAGGTTCCCCAGAGTCAGCGTGGGCGGCCCTGCCTCCCGGTCCAGCCCCCGAGGCAGAGCAGCCACCACCTCCAGGCGCCGTGACCGTGAGTGCTCCGGGTGTGGTGGGGCCGCAGGAGCCAGGACTTGCCCCTTGGCCCTGCTCCCTCCTCGGGTCTGGACTGGAGGCAGAGGGGAACCAGGGATTTCTTTCCTCGGGTCTTACAGGGCCTTGTGCTGCAAGTGTGCCCAGACAAGACCCTCGGTACCGGCTTTGGCTCCTACTGCCCTGAAGGCGGGGGGATACTTGCATGGCTGCCTGATTCGTGTGTGCCCCAGGGCAGAGGCTGGTGGGTCTGAACAGCCCCTCCAGCCCCTGGATCCTGTGCCATCCTCCCCTCCAGCCTCAGGACCCTGTGCTGTCTCCCCCTCAGCCTTAGGACCCTCTTCCTCCCTGCCCAACCCTGGGACCCATTTCCCCCAGCCTCAGGGACGCTGTGCCATCACTGTACCACTTCTCCAGGGCCAGGCAGACTGAATCCCTGGGATGCCAACCACAGCCTCACCTGCTCTTTTGTTGCTTTGCAGAACAGGGAACCCCCATCATCCTGCCCAGCCTTCAAAGAGGGTGAGTTGGCTTCTGTGTTCAAGCAGCAAGAGCATCCAGGAGTCCTGACCCACGTGCTCTGACGCTGAATGGGGGTGGCTGAGGGTCCCAGCTGGGGAGGGAGTGCCTGTCTCTGTGTCCATCCAGGGTGGGAGTATCGCTGCAGACTCCAGATGGCTTGTTTGATGCTTTGCTGAGGAAGTTGAGGTGCTTCAGGGATCAGGATGGGGGGATGCTCAGGAAGGGAGAACGGGATGCCAGGTGTGCCCAAGGGAAGGGGAAAGCAGCCTTGGTCCCCAGTGATGCCAGGAACCCATGTCCCAAGCACTGAGCTGCTCTGCCAGTGTAGGAATGCAGCTAATGGGCAGTAAGAGTTGGTACCCCCAGTTTCAGAGGTAGGGGAGCAGCCCCTGCTCAGTCTCTCCCAATGCCTCAGTTCCAGGCCCTTGTGACCCGGAGGATCTGCTGGACGGTGTCATTTTTGGGGCAAAGTACCTGGGCTCCACACAGCTGGTCTCGGAGAGGAACCCCCCAACCAGCGTCCGCATGGCGCAGGCCCAGGAGGCCGTGGACAGGATCAAGGTGCAGGAGGGGTGGGGGACACAGCTGCCCCCAGCCTGGCCCCCTGTGGCTGTGGGGCAGCACTCGGGGCCTGCCCAGGGATACCTGGCTGTGGGGCTGGGACTCAGCGGGGTCCTGTGACCTCTCCATCGTCTCACAGGCACCCGAGGGGGAGTCCCAGCCCATGACAGAGGTGGATCTGTTTGTCTCCACGCAGAGGATCAAGGTGCTCACTGCAGACACGCAGGTGAGCGGGAGTGGCAGCACCCGTGTGCCTCTGGGGCTGCTGGAACCTTCCTGTTCGGCCTTGGGACCTCAGCTTTGTTCCCACACTGGAGGGGTTGTGCCCAGGGATGGCCTGCAGTCGAGGACACACATCTGGGAGGGGAAGTGTAATTCCACAGCCATCCTTTGTCGTGTCCTTGGCTCTCCACGTGGCTGCACGAGGCTTCCTGTGCGAGCTGCGCCCTGGGGAGCTGCTGGGATCCCAGACCAAGCTCCAGGGAACCCAGGCTTGAAATCTTGGAAGCTTTTTGCCTCAGGGTTACTTTCTGCATTATAGTAAGAGGGAAGGGCTGTTCTGTCCCCTGGCAGCACCCGGGGACATGGATGAGTCCCTGATGAAGGAGCTCTTTGTACCCAATAGCACAGACGTGGTTTCTGCCCAGCGTGTGCCAGGCATTTGCGCTGCATCCCAGCAGCATTGCTGAACCCTTCCTGCTCACTGGGCTAATGGTTGCCCAGAGGGCTGAACATCTCTGCCTGTGTCGCCCTTGCCAGGAGGCCATGATGGATCACTCCCTGCAGACCATCTCCTACATCGCCGACATCGGCTCCCTCGTGGTGCTCATGGCGCGCCGGAAGCTGCCCCGGCGGTCGGAGGTGGCGGAGGAGAAGCGGCTCTACAAGATGATCTGTCACGTCTTCCACTCGGCCGATGTGAGGCCACACGCGGGTCCCTGGGGAGGGCAGGGGGGCCCTGGGGTCCTGGGCTTGTCCCACTGGAACAGCTGGGGGTCCATGCTGGGGGCAGCAGCAGAGACCCCTCCCTCCCCACAGAGAGAGGGCAGGAGCCCAGCCTGAGCATCTCTTTGACACACAGGGGCCCAGCGAGCAAAGAGGGGAGGATTGGCACTGTAGAGGGGCCCGTTCAGGCAGGGAAGGAGCTCCCAGGGCCAGTGCCTGTGCTGGGCACTGCAGGGCATTGGGAGCTATTGGCTGCAGCCCTGAGCCATGGGCAGGAACAATCCCTGTCGTTCTCCAGGCCCAGGTCATTGCCCAGGCCATCGGGCAGGCGTTTGGTGTGGCCTACCAGCGCTTCCTGGAGGCCAACAGCATCGACCCCAGCGAGCTGAGCCCGCGCCAGTACAGCCGTGCCCTCGAGGACCAGGAGCAGTACAACACAGAGCTGACCCACTTCTCCCGGCAGGAAAACTGCAAGGATGTAAGAGCTGCTCAGGGGAGGGAGGGCGTGGGGACCCTGCTGGCACCTCTGTGTCATCCTCTGCATGGCTCCCTGAACAGCTGAAGTGCTCCCTACAAACCAGGCCCCATCCCAGCCAGCTGTGAGCACAGGACACCAGTGCTGGGCTGGGGCACGTGCCCTTGGCTCTGGTGACCATAACCCACCCGTTCTGCTCCCAGGTCTGCATCCAGAAGCAGAAGGGGGAGATCCTGGGCATCGCCATCGTGGAGTCAGGCTGGGGCTCCATCCTGCCCACCGTGGTCATCGCCAACCTGATGCACGGGGGCCCCGCGGAGCGCTCGGGGGAGCTGAGCATTGGGGACCGCCTCATGTCTGTCAACGGGACCAGCCTGGTGGGGCTGCCCCTGGGCACCTGCCAGAGCATCATCCGGGTGAGCCGGGACGGGGCGACCTCCTCCTTCCTGCCACGGGGAGTGGCCTGAATGCTGGAATCCTGGGATCCCCTCTGGTGCCCCCAGCTGTGGGGGCAAGAGTGCACGGGGGCTGTACCTGTCCTGTGGGCTGTGACAGTTCCTGCTCTGAGTGCTTGAGAGGAAGGGACAAAGCAGGGACAGACCTGGGGACTGTGCTTGACGTGGCAGGGTATGGGTGGGGCCCTTCCTGAGGAGGAGAGTAGAAGAGGAGGCAGGCACCTGTCTTGGAGGAAACCTGTTGTACCATCTAGCTCTCAGGCAGGAAGGAGCTGAAAGCAAGGACAGGTGGCCTCGGGGGCAGAGTGCGAAGTCTTGGGCTGGGTTTATAAGCTCTTGTCCCTGGATTTGAGCATGGCAGTATCCCTGCGTGTACCTCAGTTTCTCCACTGAAAACAGGTTACTAATCCTCAGCCCTCCCATGAGCAACTTGGCTGTGTTGTCCCTCCACCAGAGCTGAACAGCTCTCCCAAATCTGACCAGCCCTCATCCCACCTTCCAGGAGCTGAAGCACCAGACCGAGGTGACACTGAACATCGTGCACTGTCCCCCTGTCACCACGGCTGTCATCCGACGCCCCGACTCCAAGTACCAGCTGGGTTTCTGTGTTGAGAACGGCGTGGTGAGTGCCTGTGGGATGGGGTCTGCCCGAGGGACAGGCAGAGCTGGCTGTGCCCAGGGGCCAAGGGGTCACAGTGCTCTGCTGTGCAGAGCAAAAGGCTCCTCGCAGCTCTCCTGCAGCACCAGTGGTTGTACCCCTCTCTCTGGTGCTCCTTAGCTGTTTGCTTTCTGGGTGGTGGCTTCTTCTTGGCTTTCTGGGTGTGACCCCAGTGACATTTGTTGCTCTTTTCAAGACCCTGGCCACTCCCTGCTCTGGGGTCTGCCGTGGCTGCCTTGTGAAGTCAGAGTGGGGCGTTCCCAGGCGCAGTGGGAGCTGAGGGGGTGGGTGGGCAGTGGAAGGGGTGGCACAGCTGCCTCACACACTAACCCATGCTCCCAGTGGGATTGGAGATGTGGGTCTCTCCTGCTGCCCCAGGGACAAGCTCAGGCTCTGCAACCCTGGCTTGATGGGAGCAGGAGGGTTAGATGAGTGGGAGCAACTGCACTCCCTGTCAACTGGGGGAAAAAGTCCTGGGGGCTGCCCTTGCCCCAGCACATCGCTCTGGGTGGCAGCAGTGCAGGGCAGTGGCTGCCCTCACTATGTGCCCGTGGGCTGGAGGAGACAGCACCCAACTCCAGAGCACTGGCTGGGAGCCTGCAGGGGTGTG